GGTGAAATCAGTTTAAGTGCTCTATTGCCTCCTCCTGCCACCACTGTTTTATGGTTAGATTTACTTTGAGATTAAAGTTGAACTAAACAACTAAACTCCACACAAAACTTCATTGGATTAAAGAGGAGAGAGAGGGAGGAGGAAGGGCGGGGGGTCTGTGCATATGTATGTATAAGGAACAGTGTGATTGGACTAAGAGGTGCCAATGTTTCAAACTCTGCCCATGAAGCCATGTGTGATGTCACATAGTACTTGAACAAATCGACAAAAAGCACCAGGAACACTAGACAATACTATTAAAACACAGTTTAATAGCAAAAAAGAAGTTGATTTCGTGTTTAGTTCCACTTTAAGATGAAAGGTGAGGGATATTCACTTGATAATCCCTTAAGAAACTTGTTGATAATCTGATTTTGTCAATCTTCATCTAGACTTCTTTCAGATCTGACTGCCTCTCTTATGAGCTTGCAGAGGAAATACTGAGATCAGGGTGAGGATAAGACCCTACCGAGTGGACAGTGTTGATTACATGTGCTACTGTTGACTCTGTACCCTGCTATATTGGTTTGATTGGCAGCAGGCCACCTCTGTCTCGATGTACAGTAGACCGATACGTTCAGACGAGACGTGCTAAACCAAGACCAGATGTGATGGGAAATACGAAAGTGGAGTTAGCCTAGAATGAATACTGTTATGATTCAGTCTGTACTTGTGCTTGTCCAACCCATAAGTCAGTGGTGGTTCAAACCTAAAACCTGGACCAGCGCATACTGTCAATGTGTCCATGGGCAAGACACTTTTCCCACCTTGAGTGATTGTGTGTTGGTGGTCAGAAAGGCTGAGGCTGGCAGAATTAGAATGAATTAACTGAAGAAGAAATTGTTAAGAGGCTGGAAAAGATGCATTAATATTAGTGATGCACCAATGCTGGTTTTGAATATCGGTACTGATCCATGAATATGTGCAGTATTGATATCTGTTCCATGATATCAGTTCAGTCGATATCCTGGTTTGACTCTTGAATGACGAATATACGCCCAGGATGCCAGGACTAGGCATCACCTAGTGCCTCTGCTCAATTTCATTTCTCTCCAGCGACTAGGTCAGGAATTGGAATACACTAGACAGTTCGCAAAAACCCTGGAAGTGCGAGTTTGGGCACCAGCCAATCAGCGAAGACCCATACATTCTGTGTTGGCAACAATTCCCGAGATCGAGGATTTAAAGCCGGAACAAAAAGAATGTTTGGTGAATCTGATAAAGGGGAAAGATGTTATTGCCCTTCTTCCTATGGGATTTGGCGCATTACATACGTCACGACCAAATAGCAGTGACTGGTCAAATACAGCACCCGCCTACGAATTCTAAAGTTGCGAGGTCAGACGGTTTCTACAAAGTGAAACCGGCTGATGAATCATACTAGTTCAGTACTTGCAGGATACATAAGTTACATAACCCAATCAGATCAATTTATCAAGTTCAAGTTATCTGTATTTTGAGAGACACAAACAGCATTCTCAATTACAACACAGTTATTGGTTAATATTGAATAATGGCAGATACTTAAAGCCATACTATCGATATCGGAACTGAAAATCTTGGGTTGGTTCATCCTTAATTAATAGTATTCCTTGACAAAAAGGTAGAATGTGAAAGCAACTAATATTTTGAGTTCAGATTGGCTGATTATCTCTTAATTAAGGATATACAAGTGTGTGTCTTATTTTTTTTTTTCTGATCTGAAATGCTGTCTGCCCCTGATTTTCTTTGTATAGAATAAACATTGATAGATATCTAACTTGACTAATCTATAAACCCAACAGTAAAGCTGTCAGTGCATTAAGTTGTCTTGTATAATATAACGGGACTCATCCTATCGGGAAAACTTATAACCCCATTGCTTTTAGATTTATGGATGTAGATTGCGTTGGAGAGCTACAAATCACTTCCACTGCCTTGGGTTTGATCATAAGCAGGTGTGGAGGAGACCTACAGTTCTGACAAGCTGCCAACCAAGAAATGTTAGTTTTGTTCATTTAACTTATTCTAAAGTTAATAAGAGTATATCAAAACATGGCATAAGTCTTATAGTTTAGTTTTTTCTTTATTTGTTTTTTACTAATTTTAATGCCCCTGCTGTGGTTGTTTGAAATAGGATTCCAGAATTTTCCAGTACTGGTGTGGTGGTTTAGTTCTTGGATTTAAGTCACTGCCGCCTTCCTGTTTTGAAGGACTTTTTGCCAAATCAAAAGAGAAATATTATTGGATTTCAGTAGTTAAAGCTGCATTATGTAACTTTTTGGGTGGTGGGTCCACTCCATGGAGATTCAATTTATTTTTGTAAGCTTTACAAAAATCACAACAGCAGATGCCTTTAAGGGCTCAACAAGATCACTGATCACCCCCCGTCCCCCAGAGTTACAATATTTCCAGTGACATTGAAAACTCTGATGTGCTTGTTGCGCCGATGCACATGTACCTTGGTTGTCATGTGGATATAGCGTGTGTAGCATTTGGATTTGGAACAAGTGCCACTGCATCTCTCCAGCGCTCACTGTGGCAGCTCGGGTCAGAGTCCTGCACCAGGTCAGGTACCCACGGACTTAAGAGAGAGAGCCCCTAGCACGAGCACGCGAAGCAGGGTGTCCGCAAAGCGCAATTGGGCGATGGTCGCATCTGCGCCGGTCTTTTCGCCTGCGGTCACCCGACGGTCTTTGCAGGCGCACCTTAGTCCTGGGTTAAATCTGGGTTAGCCCTGGGTTATCTCAGGCACAGGTAGTAACAGGTGGAATGTTAACGGGTCTGGGAGGGTTCGGGTCTCTAAAAATGGACCCATGCAGGACTCTGGGTTGGGTCACATTTGTCACGCACGGTGCGTGTGGTGGCCCAACATTTACCGCAGTGATCCTCTTAGTACTGCAGTGATTCATTTTTGTGGTTATTGCGACAGCCCTAATGACAAAGCAACAACATCTCCATGGATACAATCAGGGGGTGAACCCTCCTGTAGCAAAGTTACATAGTGCAGCTTTAATAGACTGATGAAAGCGAAGCCGCCAAATCTGCACCACCACCAACACTCAAACACCGCTTTCAGACTTTGCAATGTGGGTGAAGTGCCTTGCATAAGGACTAGGTTCACCAGATTTTCAACATCAAAAACTGAGACACCCTGGTTTGGGGCAGTTGGTAATAGTAAAATTGTGAAACGAGTGTGTAATTAAAGAGAATTCTTCTACATGTGAGTCAGTTTAGTCACGTTTTCTTTGTGCTTTGGTAATTTTAAGCAGCTTTTCTGTATTTTACCAAAACAAGTGATAATTTATGCCTCTTTTTACTGTTGTCAGGCATCAAATTGGTCAAAAATAGGGACTTTTCTTGTGTAAAACTGGGACTAATCAATGGTTTTAGCTAAATCTGTTGGGATAGGGGACACAGGGTTCAAAACTGGGATCATTCTGGGTAAAAAGGGATTTCTGATCACCCGATTAAGGACACAACAGCCTTCAGGTTGGGGGACCACTGCTTAATCCAATGAACAACTTCATTACTATCACTATGGCCATGGTCTCAGGCTTTATATCTCTCTGAAACTCATAGATGGACTGCTGTTGTGAGTGACAGCTGCAGCCCATAGAGATATGAGGACAGGCCCTTGTTGTGAGTCTGATCACCTCCAGATGTGGACTGTGCTACTGTTCCTGCTCCCCACTGCCTCCTGAACTACTCCTGCTGTATCTGGTTCTTACTACTGTTTCAAATGAATACCAGGAGGTCATGGGTGGTTCCAATTACGATATTATTACAATTGTAGAACATATTTTTAACAGCTTTTATGAGTTTTTAACCATCAAATCATCTAGCCAAAAACACATTTTATTTAGGCTTTTCTATTTGCTTCACAAACATGTTCTGTTAACAATCATGACGCTTCTTTTTTCCATCTGGGTTCATTATTGCTGCAGAGGGAGCAGAAACACTGAAACCCATGTGTTTTCATATGAACTTAAAGGAAATACTTTACATTAGAAATCTGAATTGTCAATGTAAATGTAACCATTAGTCTTACAAAAAGCATAATCACCACATGTCAAAAGATGTTCTATAACAAAGATGGTTATTTAATCTAAAATAATTTGTAGTTTTCATCAGAAGTACACTTTATTTGTAATTAGAAGCTCCCAGTAAGTATATTTTACCTTTTAACCAGATAAAAATCATTGTACTTGTCCACTAATCCAAAAAAGTTAGTTGCAGTCCTAATACTGACTTAAAAATAACATTGCCACTCTTACATAACAGACAGCAGCCAAAATATAAGCATTTTAAACAAAGAAAATCCACTATAGTTTTCTGATAATGACACACCACACTTCAACAACATAAAAATATTCAACTCCTTTGCTTAAAATGTAAGATATATGCTTTGATTTTATATAACAACCAGGATGAAAAGGAAAATAAGTTTTTCTTCATGCTTTGACTTCTACACCTCCAAGTAAACTCCAAGTCTAATCCAAGTCTAGCCTCTTCTGTATTAGTGCTGAATTGGCTGCTCAGGCTCTGTGTGTTTGTGGATCAATGGAGCTTTTGAGCGTCACCTCCAGCCAACCAGTGTGCACCCACGGATACCAGCCACAGTCACTGCAGCCAAACATACAATAAACACCAGATTTAACTGTTTATCTTCTTTCTTTTGTTACAGTCTTATCCATTCCAAAGTCCTATGTCCAAACGTGAATTGACCATTTATTCTATTGTTCAGCACAGCTCCTACAAGAAATTATTTGAAACATATGAAAACTAAAAAATGATTTACAAGTTGTATTATTGTGATTGCTCAAAATTTAAGGTACTACAAAGTTCTCAGCTATCAAGACTACAATACTTCTGCAAGTACTGTTACTTTCTACTGTAGTACCATTACTTAACATTCATTCCTCTTGATGCTGAGACCCATTGCTCTCCTCAAAGCACATTCCTCCTAGAACATACCAACCATGCAAAAACTGTCTCAATGTAAATTTGACTAAAATATAAAGTGGCTTATATAGTATTTTCCACAAACAGGCAAATAAAACTGCAAGGGTGTATCAGGTAGGCTACATTTGGTTTTAAACAATTAAACTAAAAATAGTAATATTCCAGGTTAAACTGACTAACAAATGTAATGGAAAAAATGTATTTGAAAAAGTAAAGGTGGTCTAATCAAAACATTCAGTACAGGGTCAGCCAAGATTTTTTTTTTCAGTCAAGATTTTTCTTATTTCTAAGATTTTTCTCAAAATGAAACTCTAATTCAAGTCATTTTTATTTTATATCCCATTTAAAGGGATGGTTCAGAGTCATTTTAACCTAGGGTCCTTTGCACCATGGCCTCTACATTACATATGTAAGCTACTGCTGCTGTTTGCAAATTGTTGATGGGAAATGTGGGACATGGAGCCTAATTTTGGAAAGAAGAAGAAAAAAAAAAAAAAGTATACTATCCTTCATTACACCCAAATAACCCGATGCATTTTGACGATAGCAATTCCTTTTAGCAAGTTTTTTTTTTTTTTTTTTAAATTCACGAAACTCCACTGTTACAGACAACAGGCTAACTATTACTCAATGCAAAAAAAAAAAAAAAATGCAATTCACCAAAAAGAAACTCAAACATAAAATTTGGCTTTAGTGCGCACATCACGTGAAATAACCTAAACTCTGGCTCAAGTTAGCTTCACCTCTCCTATTGTCTCCCCGGCAGCCTCTCGCCCGGACCCCGCGGCGCTCTACCCCCCTCCCCCGTCTCCCCTCACTCACCTGGGCTCGCTGCTCACCGGACACGACGCTCCGACCACCGGCGACTGGCAACACAGGTAAGAACACGTGACAACAACAACAAGCGCTACTGCGTAAAAGGCGCGTAATATGGAGAGATGTGATGGAGTTTGGAGAGACAGAGGGGGAAAAAAAAAGTTCCAGAGAGGATGGATGGAGGAGCGCAGCGGAGACTTGGATGCCTGGACACGGGAATGTCTCGCGGAGGACTGGTGGTTAGCGGGAGGTGTGTAGGTATTAGAGGGGCAGAGGGAGAGGGATATTTGGGGAGCCACTGACCCCGCCCCCCCTGCCTTTGAAATATGAACAAGCAGGACTGGACCGAGTAAAGAGAGGCTGTGTTGGACCAGCATCGTGGCCTGGCAATGTCAAAGACTTCTGCGGTAGTAGTAGTAGTTGTAGTAAAGGTAGTAGTAGTGGTAGTAAGCATAGTTGGTTGTAGTAGTGGTAGTAAGTAGTACTGTAGTTGGTCTTAGTAGTGGTAGTAATAGTAATAGTTGATCGTGGTACTAAATAGTTGTTGGTTGTGGTAATAGTAGTGGTAGTAAGTAGTAGTGGTAGTAAGGAGTAGTTGGTCTTAGTAGTGGTAGAGGTAGTAGTTGGTCGTAGTAGCGGAAGTGGTGATAGTAGTAGTAGTAAGTAGTAGTTGGTTGTGGTAGTGGTAGTAAGTAGTTGATTGTAGTAGTTGTAGTAAGTAATAGTCGGTCATTGTAGTGGTAGTAAGTAGTAGCTGGTTGCGGTAGTAGTTGGATGTAGTAGTGGTAATAGTAGTAGTAGTTGGTCATAGCAGTGGTAGTAGTAGTGGTAGTAGTGGTAGTAGTGGTAATGGTGGTAGTCGTGGCTATACCGGTTTGTCAAAGCCTGATCCCATCAGATCTCAGAAGCTAAGCAGGGCTGGACGTGGTTAGTACTTGGATGGGAGTCCATTGAGAAAATCAGGTGCCACAATGGGGCGCCAGTCGTAAAAACTGTTGTGTCCTTACGCAAGACACTTCACCCTCATTGCCTAGTATGAAAGTGGTGTGTGTGTGTGAGTATTGGTGGTGGTCGGAGATTGGCAGGCTTCCTTCAGTCAGTCTGCTCCAGGCCAGCTGTGGCTACAGTAGTAGTTTACCACCACTGGGTATGGAGTGAATGAATAATGCTGTGTAAAGTGTCTTTGAGTGTCCAAAAAAGTGCTATATAAAACTGATGCATTATTAGTAGTAGTTGGTCATGGTAATGGTAGTAGTAGTAGTGGTAGTAAGTAGAAGCTGGTCAGAGTTGTTGGTCTTAGTAGTGGTAGTAGTAGTGGTAGGAAGTAGTAGTTGGTCTTAGGCTTACTACTTGAATTACTACTACTAACACTAAAAGTGCAGGCGTTTTAAAGGTGCACTGTTTAGGTGGGAGAGAGATTGATTTGCCTGAAATGTTCCACAATTTGGTGCTAAAATGATCCAAAACACATATATATGTTGCTCAAAAAACTTGAGTTCTCAAGTGTGGTCACTTCTCCACAGATCTGACCATAAACTTGAACTTGAGGCATCACCTGCTCATCCCCATGAAGAACGATACTTTTAATGTTTTACTACCGAAAATTCTAGGTAATGCAATAACATCTCCATGGAGACAAGCTGGAAGCTCCCCTGCACCAGGAAAATTACATAGTGCACCAATTAAATTATTTAAATTAACTATTATCAATAAACAGTACTCATAAGATTCATTATGTAACTTTTTGGAAGAAGGCCTGCCACCTGCTTGTATCCATAGAGATGTTACAGAACAGAGATTTTAATGCCATACTTTGGGGCATTCTAGGCAAAGCATGTAAGTGACATACTCTTCAGAAAAGCTTCATAGTATGCCTTTAAATCTAAGGAGTCTTACACTTAATGGAGGACGGGTTTGCCACATTTTTGAGCAGGAGATCACGTTGACCGATCAAAGGCCTCATTTTTGTGTTTTGAAATCGGTGGTAAATGGAGCAAGAGAGAAGAAATTAGTCTAAAAATAGCAGCTCTAACTGTTGAACTTGGTGATCTGTGAAGTCCCATTTGAGCTGAAACTGTGAAGGTGAAAACACAGAGGAGCACTTGTGGATCTTAAAGGAGACTTTGTGCAAAATAATTTCAGATTTTGTAACCACATTATATATATATTTTTTCCTTTTCATTTACCTTCTTGAAGTTGTATTGACAGTGATTCATGCATGTTTAAATAATCTTTATTCTCCTGCATAGATGTCATTGCTCTGAACTAACCCTGTTTTTACCATCACTGAGATACGCCCACTGCTCTGTACTTAATTAATTCTCCTTTTTTTTTGGTTTGTTTTGTTAATCAGTGATACCTGTAGGATTCCACAGAGCTGGAAAAAGAAATCTCGCTAGAGTGCTGCAGTTATCCATAGGCGGGTCAAACAGCATGGTCCTAAGTTGTTTTAGATCAATATTGCAATTTAAATGTCCAAAATCATCCATGGGTGTCATAGATTTTAATTGTAGAGTCTTGAGCTTGGTCAGGAGTCAGACTATCGCATAAATCATTTGTGAAAAACCTGTTAACTGTGGCGTATTGTGCATGTTGTTCATGAGTTTAGCCCAAAATTTTAACTGCTCCTATGAGAGAAATGATTACAACAACTTAAAGTAATAGTAATATTACATACCAGTGGGTGTGCTGCTACAACTAACTAACCCTCTGACCATTTTACCCCCCTGACATATTTATTATACCTTCTGCATTAAATATTATAAATGGATTAACTCATAGTATATAGACCAAAGCATGTTTTCATGTATTGGTTTTTGTAATACTCTTGGGCTTGTAGAAAGACTTACTGTAAATCTTGAAGCGCGTGAGGCCAACTCCAGGTGGGACATGCCTGCTGCACATTTCCTCTGAGACGTGTAAATCACACGGTGGGTGACCTCAGCTGGACTCCTCACATGAAGGAGGAGGAGGGGGAGGATGAGGAAGAAGGTCTTGAACAGCTGTATAGTCCTAAACCTGCATGTCCTAAAATGCCTTTAAAAATCTTTCTGATTGGCCGAGGACAGAGTTAATATCGACCTACCTTTGATACCTACAGATGCAGAAGGTCTGGAGAGTAGAAAACTCAATTTTAGCAAAAAAGATGAGGCTGGCAAATTGGAATTTTGACATATTTTGTTGCACTGTGCTTTGTTGTTTGACTCCATTTGTGAGTTTCATAATTTCACCTCTGAAAATAATTAGATTTTCAGTGCCATCACCGTGCTTGTCTCCATGGTGATCTTGTTTCTTTGCTTGAAATGTTGCACAGTATGGCATTTAACTTATGAAGCCAGGTGACACCACTAGGTACAGGTGAGGCGCCTCATTAATACATATACAAACATTATTTATGTGACTTTCTAGTTTGTAATCTATAAAAAGACTATTTAATGTTAAATTAGGTTTTGGAAGTTTGTGCTTTGTAAAGTTTTATAAATGATCAGTGGACAGGACATCACTCATAGTAAGAGAACTTTTTTTTTTCAGGATGCTTTTGAGTTTTTGTACTCTGTCATAAAGGTTTGATCAAAAGCAAAGAAATGAATAAAAATCCTGTCAACTGAGCTAAATGTTTAGAGTGAGGAAGTTTTGCCAAGCCAAGCAGCTTCAGTTCTGTTCAGATTGCTGGTGGATTACTTACCTGGCCAGACAGTCTGTGACCATAATAAATAATCAGTCGGTTATTTGTGCTTTTTAAAGACGATACAGTAGAAGGTGTATTTACCTTTCACACACCTGGGACACCCTCCTCCAGAGACTCTTGCAGCCGGCAGCCAAAACATGTCAACAAAGTAAATACATCTCCAACTGTATTGTCTTTGAAAAGAACCCAAGAAGTTAATGTACATCAGAAGAAAAAATGAACGTTTTTGGATTAGTGTATTGTTTGTTTTTGTTAAGTTAAGTGAGTCATAAGAGTTGGCTGTCCCATTGGCTGATTTACAATATGTAGCCTCCTGACCCGGGGAAGCAGGCCAATTGACTCATAGAGGTACCGTCAACTTTAAACCAAGTCCAGATGAGCTTCCTGAAATTTTTGATTTACATCTGAAGGAAGCAGTGTTGTAATAAATCAGTCTGGTTCTAGACATGTTAAAAGTCGCAACAAAATACTTCAGAGTTCAAGATTGACCCTTTTAACAATGGAAGAGTTGATGTTTTGATAAATCTAATTATATAATAAGTTTGATTGTGCTAATGGGAGTCCTCAATCAACAGACAGACAATATACATCCGTTTAGGCAGCCAGGATGATAGGCCTGTCACATTAATTACTATTACTTATCGTTCAGTATAAAAGATGCAACAATATGTTTTGGGGCTCAATAGTTGTTGTGTGTCAATTTCTTTGTAGTGAGGAGATTCTGGCCATTTTTATGTAAGAAGTTTTCTGTGGGTAAATATTGATTCATTCTGCTATTCATTTATTGCAGCTCGTATGTTTTGATACTCTGTATTTAAAAGATTACCCTGCTTTGTGTCAGTGGCATAAAGTAGTGTCAGTATGATCCTTTATTGCAATAAAAATTGTCCTTCAAAATGTGTTATCTTGACAGGCTGGCAAGATGTAGATAGAATTTAGGCTAACTCTCAAATTGTCCATGTATCCATCTATTTTCTTCCGCTTATCCTGAAACGGGTCGCAGGGCAGCAGTCTACGCAGGGACTCCCAGACTTCCTTCCAGACACTTCCTCCAGCTCCACCGGGGGGGACCCCAAGGCGTTCCCAGGCCAGCCGAGAGACATAGTCCCTCCAGCGTGTCCTGGGTCTTCCCCAGGGCCTCCTCCCAGTGGGACATGCCCGGAACACCACCTGAGGGAGGCGCCTAAGATGCATCTGCAACAGATGCCCAAGTTTCCTGAGATGAAGGAGCAGCAGCTCTACTCTGCGCTCCTCCCGAGTGACCTATCTCCCTATCTCTAAGAAATCACCCAGCCACCCTGCAGAAGAAACTCATTTCGAACTCTTGTATCCGCGATCTTGTCCTTTTGGTCATTACCAAGAGCTCAGGTAGGAACGTAGATTGACCAGTAAATTGAGAGTTTTGATTTTCGGCTCAGCTCCTTCTTCACCACAACGGTCCGATACAGCGACCACATCATAAATTGGTATATACATACATACAATTCATTGTGATGATTGCAGTTTGTAGTATTTGAGTAAAGTAATGAACTAAGAGACTCAGAG